CTAAACAAAGAAAATTAAAAATATTATAAAAAGTAAAAAAAATGTTAAACATAAAAAAAATCTAAATAGAATGAGTTACACGAAAGCGACAAAAAAAAAAATAATTAAAAAATCATATTTTTATGCAATTCACGCAAGAAGATTCACGAAGCATTAAAAAAATTATGAATTTTAAGCACACCAAATTCGCTAATAGAATATTGATTTGTGAAAAAAAATTAAAAGAGTAACATAAAAATTAAAAAAACTTTGCCTGTTAAATATAAAAGAAATTAGAATAGAATGAATGATATACGGAAGCGAGAAAAAAAATCGTTCTTTTATCCAATTCACGCAAGGAGATCTGTGAAGCATCAAAAAGATTTGCGAACTTAATCGCACAAATGTGCTAATAAAAGATCGATTATCAAAAAACCAAATCCAACGAATTAACACATACTTTTTATGCGACAAATAAGAAACGTGAACATAAAAAACACAAATCTATGCACATTGTTCATATAGATTTAGTCTTAAATACAAAATATTAGAAAAATGAGTGCAATTTTTACCCGATGCGCGTGCTCTTCTGGTGTACTTATGTTCTATGTTTGAGCTTTCTCCTCTCTCCATTTCTTCAAGTTTTACTTTTGATTCAAACTGTGTGTTCCTTTTCACCTTTTTCTCTTTTATTCACACAAATGTAGCAAAATATTTTTTTATGACTCTTACTCTTGTGTGCGTGATGAGCTGTGAAGTGTCAGAGGTACAAATACATTCAATATATAGATGAGTGAGACCTTTGAAATGAGTCCCCAGGTGTGGAATTAGGGTTGTGAAAGGGAGGCAAAATGGGCAAAAAAATATTAATTGTTGTTTCTAAAACCTAAAATATACGTGTATGAAGCAAAAGTGACAAAAAAAAAGTTAAAAAAATTTAGAGAAATTTAGTGAAAATCCAATGAGACAATATTACATGTATATGATTTTTACACTCCCAATTATTTATTTATACTAAATAAATGGAATTAATCTTGATTTTGATGTTATCAATTACTTGTCGCTCAAGGGCTAATATAGAAATAATTCAAAAATTCACTAGGTGAGGATAGACACCACTTAATTACGACAACTATTTAATCCGTCTTAAAAGTGAATTGCTGAATTGTTATGAAAATAAGATTTTCAAATCGTTGTCCAAAAAAAAAAGAAAAAAAAGATTTTCAAATCTTGTAAAGTATTTAAGGTTAAAATTAATGAATTTATTTATTTGAAGATTGAACTAATTAATTTTTTTATTTTTCGAATTCTAAAAGAAAATAAAATATAATATAATATATTGAGGTCAAATGTTTTATTAAGTAAGTCAGATTACACGAGATAAAGTTAATAAAAATCGTTCGACCCGATATAGTCAAATATCCATTTACAAGATCTTTTCTTTTTTGGTTCTCTATTTTGTGGTCATTGTTAGCACTCGAGTGGGAACTACTGAATTCAAATAAGTTCGTATTTTGCTTTAGGAATTTTAACAAAGGAGTGTTGTGTAAAAAGAAAACATAATTTTTTTTAAATACAATTTATTATGAATGTTTAAAGTCTCATCGTCATCTTTGTGTTTTTTTTTAGGGGTCTTAAGATATAAGTCCCTAGTGACAAACCTTATTAGAACTAAATGACATGCCTAATTAAAATTTGATTCACATCCTTTATAAAAATTCTTTCCAAAAATGCCCCTACCTCACAAAATTCGAAATTAAGTCAGATTATAAATATTCTATGATGTTCTATGCTATTATTTAACATTTTTAATTTGCATCTAGCATTTTCGTTATTTTTTTTCGTAGAATATGTCTATCTTTTTTTTTCTCATTAAGAATCTATTTTTTTCTACATAATATACAAAATTATGAATTTTTATTTTTTTCTACATAATATTCAAAATTATGACTTTTAAAAAAAAAATTCCAGAGTTATTTGCAGACACCCATAGAAACCGTAGTAATCCGTAGTCACCCACAGACATCTTGAAACCCTAAATCCTCATTTGAAACCCTAAATTCTCCTTTGAACCCTATCCGTCAGCCGCCAGACACTCATAGACACTCACAGACATCTATAGACATCAAAATCAAAAAAAATTAGATTCGTCCCACCAAACCCTAGATCCGCCCCACCAACCCTAGATCCGCCCCCACCAACCCTAGATCTGCCCCAACACCGCCGCCGCACAGCCTTTGCGAACTTCCGATCCGCCGCACAACCCGTAACTCGCCGCCTCCACCACGACCCCATCCACCGCCGCACATCCCCTAACTCGCCGCCTCCACCACGACCTCATCCACCGCCGCACAGCCCATGTCGTCGCACCTCCACCATCGTTGCTGCTGGTTCCTCTCCTATCAATGCTGGCAACGGCCTTCGGTCGTGCTTCTACAGGAGAAAAAAAGAGATATAGAGAGATGAGAGAAAGAGAGAGAGAGAGAGAAGATGGAGAGGGAGAGAGAACGTGAGAGAAGAAATATAGAGGGGGAGAGAACGTGACAGAAAAAAAATAAAAAGAAGAAAAATAAATGTTAATTGAAGAAACGTGACTATAAAAAGGTATAAGGGCAAGATGGGAATAATAAAAAAATTAGGGATGTGGCTCATATATTATTTCAAACTAAGGATTTAATTAAAAAAATTGATTTGAATTTGTCATTTAGTTCAAATTAAGTTTCGTTTGAGGGATTCCTAGCATATTACCCCTTTTTTTTATTGTCTAGAGTTAATTGTTTTATTTTAAATTCCATAATGAACTTGATATTCATGGCCGATGATTGGAAAATAATTGTTAGTATTGAAATTGTCTTAAATAGTTGATGAGGAGGTTGTGAATGATTTGTCATATTTTTATAGGGAAAAAAATTGCAGTTGTCATCCCTCAAGTTTGTACCTATTTTACATTTGGTCCCTCATGTTCACGAAAAACACATTTGGTACCTCATATTTTAGTAGTTTAATATTTTTTGTCATTTCCATCAATTTTACCATAAGCCGTCAGTTAAGACAATATTGGACACATGCTTGATCCCGTTATTACTAACTAAAAACTGACCTAAATGACTAAAAGTGTTGAATTTTGAAACATGAGGGACCAAATATGTTTTTTACGAACATGGGGGACTAAATGTGAAATCGGTGCAAACTTGAGGATGAAATTTGTATTTAACTAAAATAATAAAAAAATTATTGAGGAGTTTAATGAAAATCAAAATAATTGTAGGGGCTTACCTAAAATTAGATCGCCTCCTCCTAAAGAGATTTTTCACTAATTTTCTCAAATATTAATAATTAATTAATTAATGGGCAAATTACCAAAACCCCCATGAGGTAAGCCTAAATAACGAAAATCCTCCTCACGTTCTCGTAATTACGAAAACCCCCTGAGGTATGCAGACATCTTACAAATCGCTCTAACGGTGTTAAACTCGATAGAATCTTTTTGATTCTCCCGAATATTCCTCCGATAATACCAATTTTGCCCTTGTACACGAAATTACCCTTAGGGGGTAATTGTAAGCATTTTATTTAATGAGGGGGTCATAAATATATACTCTTCATGAAATATACAAGTGTCTGCAGAATACTTATTTTTCTTAAATTAAACCCAAATATAATCAATCATTATGAATGTACAATGTATTTTTATTGGATTAAAAAAATCAATGGATGAGATTTCAAAATTTAATTATTTTTTATATATTAAATTAAATATTTTACAATTCGAGAAATACAACCATGCATCATTCAAGCTAAAAGCATAAATCCGTATGTATACTCCTCTGGATAAATAAAATCAATTAAAATATATAAATAAAAAAATAAAAAAATTATAATATCAAATTATCAATACAAATTACAAAGTAATAAATAAATTTATAAAAGCAATAAATCTTCAAGTGAAAGGGATGTCAGGGGGATTTTCGTTATTTAGGCTTACCTCAGGGGGGTTTTGGTAATTTGCCCTTTATTTTTTACATATTTAACAGAAGGATATAATAGACATTTCACGTTTTCGGTTAAAAAATTTCGGTCAACCGTTAGTCAAGGGGGGTTTTCGTAATTACGAGAACGTGAGGGGGATTTTTGTTATTTAAGCTTACCTCAGGGGGGTTTTGGTAATTTGCCCTTAATTAATTAATTAATTGATAATAATAATAAGGGTAAATTACAAACACCCCTGAGATAAGGTCAAATTACAAAAACACCCCTATTGTTTGGATAATTACAACCACCCCTCAACTCCTCAAATTTAATGGAATCTTCGAGATTATATGGAATATTATCACTTTTGTATCCGTTTTATTCCATTCAAACTCTACATTATGAAGCAAGATGATCATAATATGTGATTTTTAACTTGTATATATCAGTTTGTGGTGCATCGGAAACTGTATTTTTACACAAAACGAATACAAACTAGAGCACATTTCACGGAATCTAGATGATTATGTTGAATTTGGCACCATAAGGGTGGAGGTGTAAGAAAAAATCATAGTTGAGGGGGGTAGATGTAATTATCCAAACAAGAGGGTTTTGTTTTGTAATTTGACCATACCTCAGGGGGTGTTTGTAATTTACCCTAATAATAATAATCAGACATAATCAGTCAGGCTAGCTTA